AGGTTTTGCATATAGGTCTATCTTATTTTTAGGTGTTCTATCATCCCTAGAAGTACTTCTAAACTTTTTTGGTCCATCTTGTATAAGTATAGTTTTTGTTTATCGGTTACGAGCAGGTATATTTAAATTTGTGTGCTTCCGTAAATATTATAATGATTGTTAAATTTAAAAATAATTTATTTATTAAAAACAGTTTATTTATAATTTATTTAATACTTAGGCACTATTGAAACTCACAGTTCTAATTTATTAATTATAATTTATCTTTTCTATGCACCACTTAAATTGAAACTTAATGTCTATCGACAAACTCGCGCTATTTATGTAAAGCCAGCTCGACCGTCTAGAAACTCTTTCTCTATGACTCAGCCGCTGCGCATCGATTTCTTCGGCAGCTTCTCTAAGGAGTGCGTTTGTCTCCGTATGGCCAGCGCCAGACTTCATATCGCGGGTAAGGGAGTAAATAAAGAACAGAGTCGGCTTCGCTTGACAATATGTATCTTGCAAGGGGGTAACCACTAATGTAAAAACGTACGCGTATTTCGGAAATCACCTAAAATGATTTATGTGATTTCGCTGAAAATTCACCTTAATTTCCTAAGATGACCTTTTTTACTATTCCCTTGTCTGCTGCATTTAGGTTTTTGAGCGACGAATTGGTTTCAAGGTGATTTCGGCGATGATTTATAGAAGGTTGGTCTACTGGCTTAAAATTTCCAAATGGTAAACGTCGCCGTTTAATTATCACTCATATTAGAGGAGATAAAGGATTTGTTGATAGAGGCTTGTTAGAAAGACTACCATGAAGAAATGACTACTGATGTTTTTGAGGAATATTTCAGTCAAATGATAGATTTATTACCGAACATTTCTGTAATAGTTATAGTTACCATTCAAAATCTCTCTGATTGGCTAATAAAAAAAGAAACAGTGGCAGAAGAGAGATTACTCAAAAAAGAGCTATTGCAGTTATGTAAACAATATTCACCAAAATTATAGTGAAGATGAAATAGCAAAAGAATATGGAGTTAAAGTGTTGCGGTTACCACGTTATCAACGTGAACTTAAGCCCATTGAACTAATCTGGGTTCAGATGAAGGGATATATGTGAGAAACAATACAACATTTAAGCTTCAAGATGTTTGTCAACTATTATATGAATCCATATCCAAAAATTTAACCGGACACAGTGGCGGCTCATGACTTAAATTTTGGGTTTCACAGTGACAGAATATAGATATCAGTACAGATATATGAAAAAAACTTTCGGTGTTTTAGAAAGTTTACAATATGCCTTTCTAAAACACTGACAGTTTTTTACCTATATCTGTACCGACATATATATTCTGCTACTGTGAACCCCCAAAATTTTGGTCACAAGCCGCCCCTGATCGGACAATTGGCAAAACGTTATTAATGTCATAGCAGAGGAAGAGAAATTCTGGAATCTCGGATATGTTAATAGAGGAAACAATAGAACCAATTATTTCTGTGGGAAGTGAGGAAACTGATGATGCTGACTCCTTATCGGGAGAAAACGACTTATTTATTTAGGTATGTAACTCTATATTTATATTATAAAAATTTTATATGACGCTAGTACCCGAAATACAAACAAAAAAATTTATATAGAATCATCCCGTATTTCTAAAAACGAAATATGAGTGTTTTATGAGAAAATATTTTTTTGTAAAGCTTTTTTTTTAGTATACCATATAAATTTGGTTGTGTGTATATTTATTATTAAATTTGAAGAAAATATCCTGTTCTAATATTTAGTATACTATTTTTATAAAAATAAATGTGGGTACTTTATTGACAGTTTACTATTTTTTTATATTAAAGTAAATTCTTTTTCCCCATCACTGAGGTTTAGAATTATTGGTTAATCCCTTAGGGTTTGCTCATTTAAATTTTACTTTTTTCTGCTTTGAACAATCCTGTATGTACTTAGACATTTCCTATAAAAACAGTGCTATAAAATAAACTATAGTTTTGTATTAAAGACTTGATGATGGTCTTGTAGGCCGAAACTAGTTGCTCCGTTGCATCTTATTATTAATTATTTTGAGGTATAGATTTTAGCCTTATTAAATATACAATCACATTCAAGAAAAATTGATAATATTTCATTCTAAATTTATTATAGCAGAATTTAGTTCTTTTGGAAAATACGTGCACTAAAACATTTATTTTCCCAATAATTCATTTCGGTAGTAACAACTAACAACTTATGGAATTCCCTTTTCATTTCCTTGCTCTAAGGAAGGCTATGAGGTAGACCAGATGCTCGTTGTGAACATAACCAGATGCCTTCTTAAGCAGGCGAAAGTAACCCGAAATAAAATGATTTTTACCCGGTCATAAAAGGGATATACGAGTGTTACGTACTTGAACAGGTTATTGAACTAATCGATTTTTATCTGGCGTCTCTGTTTAATTAAGTATTTGTTTCTAGTTTTCTATATTTGGTTTCATTCAATGGGGTCTATTCTGTAACAATTCCTTTATATTTAACGGCCTTTAAAAATATTGGCGGCATATAAAAATATGTTCGTATTCGTTAATTTACTTCTATCATTATTTAAACAGATTTCTTTAAGATAGTCCTCTAATGTATTTTAAAGATCCGTTTAAATAGTGACCGAATTAAAGAAGAAAATATTTTTAAAGGCCGTTAAATATAAAGGAATTTTTACAGAATAGACCCCATTTGTTGTTAAGAAGTATAGTTAAAAATAATGATTAGAAATTAAAATTTACCTGTCTACTTTTGCATCCAGTACAAAAACAGAAATCTATTTGCGTAGGTTTATTATTGTTCAAACTACATGCTATGGTCACTGGTCATGTCACTGTTTGAAATATTTTCAATACATTAAGGTTAACTTTAAAAATAAAATTGCAGGTACATTTACGGGCAATTTTATCAATTTTATAGTCTATCAAAAGACCTGTAAGGATCAAATTGGCTGAGTGTTTTAAAATTAGGTTGAATATATTTTGCCTAAACAAGCAAGAATATTGCTTCCCCTTTTCCAGCCTATAAACGATTTAATAGAACTTGAGGACCAAAATCTTCATCAAATACAGTAAACTTATTTTGACAACTACGCATGCGCATTAATATTTTAATAATAGTACTAAATGAGAATACGGGATTACCTTATTTTTAGAAAATACGGAAACTTTATAATTGAAATATGGTAACTTACTCGTATATTTATATTACATATCTCTTTTTGTAATTATCATGTTCCTATATAATGGCACTGTTTTATAAATATGAAAAACATTTGTGTGAATAAATAAAACAAACATTTCAATTAAAATCAGAAATCAAATTCTTCATTACTTAGTTCCATTTTTATTAATTTTTCTGGAACATTGAACTATGTTAACATCAAACATGTGGAATAATGACCTTGGTCCACATTATGCATCTTATATAACTCATACTGAATAAAATATAAAAAATTTATTTATCTATTTATTTGTGTAACATTTTGTCAATATAATTAAAAAACTTTCACATTTATTAAACCTCAAAATAAAGAAGAAAAATAATTAAGATGAATATATTAAAATAAATGGTTCATATATTTTAAATTAAAACTTGTAAAACTTAGGTAAAGATTAGGTAAATAGTGAACCAAATTACAAAATAGCAATTTGTGAGTAAAATAAATAAAATTCGAAAACAATTTAAGAATTTTGAACATTGCACTGTAAAAATAAAATATGTGGATTAATGGACCTTGGTTCAAAATTATGGCCAATGTATAACTTATTGAATAAAATATATAGGTATTAAGCAGATATCTATTTTGTGTAACATTTTTTCTATCTCATTAAAAACTGATGTTTTGTTGCCAACATGCCAACCTCAAAATAAAAGAAAATATTTTAGATATTATATTAAAAATATGTAAGAAAAAATATTAAATACAAATAAAATTAAAAGGTATTCCACATCCAGTTAATAGAATGTTTTGGCATTGAAATAATTATTTAACCCTAATAATAGGTACTCTTAGTAGACATATAAACGAGTTTATATAAAATACCTACTAAAGATATATTGATTCAATTTTAAAATGTAATATTTTTAGTATATCTACCTAATATTTATGAAATATTGTAATACCTACTTACTAGAAGACATCCGCAATACAAAAATAATCTTTGTTGATAACAGTGTCAACAATCGTTTCATTGCATTTGATAAGAACTTAAAAGCCAATAGAAACGACAGTAGTCTGTTACACGAATTCGGAAATTTGTATAACTTCCTAATAAAAATTACCTAGTATATTATCAAGCATACATATACGTTCAGTACTTTATATATCACTTCTCTTTTATAAGTTTTATCTGTTTAAAACCGACAGGAAATTAGTTGTTAGTCATATCGTAACCTTGTAAATTTAAAACTTAGATATATCTTATTCAGTAAAATTAGCTAGAATGCTTGCGAATTTCAAAACAACCCTTATGCGTACGCCTATGAGTCGTTTTAAAGTACAGTCAGTGTCAGTATACATCACAGAATCAAAGCAGGCCTAGAGTATAGGTGCGTCAAACCCGAATATAAATAAAGTCAACGTCAGAATCGGAAAATATTGATTAGCTGAAAAAATATTACTGAAATTCAACACTGGGCTTTGTTCATTAGCTATCATTTCTGAATGTATAAACAAAATTTGTGTATTTTAATTAATATATAACCCAAGAGGTTAGAACTGTCAAAATAGCAAAAGCATTTTAACGATTTATTATTTATATTTCCATTGCTGTTTCGATCAATAAAAAAAGGAATTTTAGAATAACCAGTAGCATTATAACACATTTATATTCACTTATCATACATTTTTAACCCCTTAGAAGTGTTATGTCAAACAGATGAAACTTTAAACTTCCGTATATCCTAAAGTGGCCAGTTTCTCGGAGATAGCTTTGAACACATATATTAAGAAAACATATAATATTTATGTACTCACCTTTGACTACAATTACTTTAGTTACATATCTAACAAAAACACATAACAATTCACGGATTTGCAAAAGTAACACGCCCAACCCCGATTATTTAGATTTCGACTGATTTTCTTCTGGTACTGTGCGTGGCGGCTTCTGGCGACAAATTGCCGAACTTTACATCAAGCATGGGCGTAGAAAGGAATTCTTTCTAACCATGTTGAAATTCTATTCTACGAAATTGATTTGTTTTTATTTGAATTAATTCAATCAGTCACAAGTCTATATAAAGCAAAGTAAACGTTAGAATATCTTAATCAGCTTATTATTCATTAGTATTAGTAATTACGATAAAATATATTTTTCGTATTAAATTCAACAACCGCATCTCCGGCTAAGTACGGTAATATCTAATGTTCCGAAACTTCTAATATGAATATTTATAGGTGACACAATTCTTGATTTGGTTTTGGCATTCGTAATAATTAAGTTGAATTAAAAATAAATAATAAAATGAAGCACATGTTCAAAAATTTAAAAATATTCTTATATTTATATACAGCTAATTTATAAATATTAGGTCAGATTTTTATCTTGTTTTCATAAGTCCAGTATACAATTATTCAATGATTGGTTAGCATCGCTAGTATTTATTAGCTTAATAAACAATATCTCTCGTCTACATGATTTAAATTGTACGAATGCTACGATATAGAAATATGCTAATTTGGTTATGATCAAAAAGGTTAGAGAAAAGGTAGAGGCAGGATTGGAAAAAACCTAAGAATTAAAAAATATAAAAGTAGATATTTAGTTTATTAAGATTTTTAGGGTTTTTAAGGTTTTTAGTTAATGTATGTTAAAAGTTATTGATAAAGTTAAACAAAAAATACAAGCAAACCTTGAAAATAGAATTTTAATATATACCAATAAAAAAAAATTCTGCACACAAAAAAAGAGCTAAAAAGTGAAATATAAATAAATAAATAAATTGTATTTTTTTAAATTGTCACTATAATTAATAACCATATCAAGAAGAAGTGGTATAACCTTTGATGTAATGTTGATTAGTAAAATTGTGAATTCCTAATCTGTATCTTAAAAAAAAAATAAAAAACATAAAATGGCACAATTTTCATGTTTAGGTTTTTTAAAAACCTAAAAAACCTAGATGCAAAAGACCTGTACCTGCCAACCCTGGGTAGAGGTAATATAGAAAGTATTTGTCGCGGCCTTGTCGCGGCGCGAATTTTGCCAAAACCGAAAAACTCAATGAAAGGAGTAGGGAGATGTTCTGGGCCGGACTTATATATTTGTACTATAGTACTTTTAAAAGATGAAAAATTATGAGAAATTTTTTGACATCATTAATTAACACGATTCATTTATGATGAAGGTAATGTAATAACCCTTTATCACTAGCTAGTAGCTAAGTAAAAGTTTATAAAATTATTGTGACAAAAATAACTTATTGTATCTAAGCTCACAAAATGTTGCATTATAATAACATTGAAATTAATGTTACAATACCTATTATTTTTATTATCAACTGGTTTTACAAATTATAAAGCAAAATGTTAATAATTAGGTTAAAAAAATTATACCGGGTGTTCAAATTAAAGTATTACAGTTAAATATCGCCTTTAATAAAAAACGAAAGTTTTATAGTTTTTTGGAGCAAATATTTTGGCTAAAATCGTTTTTGCTAACCATAATATAACAAAATTTTCAAGTAGGTGTTACTCAATAAGTAAAAGTCCAATAAAAAAATGTTTCCTTTAAAAGTTTCTTATTTTTTTATGAACTTTAAGAATAGGTTTATAAAAAAATGAGGTTTTAATTTGAAAAAAAAAGTCCATCTCGATATGGCCCCCAAAAAACTATAAAACTTTTGTTTGAAACTTTTTATTATAAAATGCATATTTTCGGCGGTATTTAACAGTAACACTTTAATTTGAACACCCGGTGTATTATTTATTTTATAATACAGTTTAATACTGATTAGTCTTAAGGCTCCTCTTCACGTTGGCCACTGCGCTGGCAAATATTATTGGCAATATTCATGACCAACATGTAGGTAATTTTATGGTCTTTACTTTGAAAATATGTTTATTGTACAAGGTGATTCATACCTAACTCCTTGTAAATTTGTAATTATTCACTTTAGATCCCAAATATGTTAGTTGGTTGAACTCAGCTCATCAAAGGCATTGAAATAAGTAAAATAATATTGGGTTTAAAAAAATGTATTGTTGCTTCACCATGCAGAGGTATGAATAACTACTCTGTCTAGACTCTAGATCATTGTTTCTCAAACTTTTTTGGGATGGAACCTTTTTGAAAAGCGAAATATTTGAAGGAGCCCTAAACACATTTAAAAAAAAATCATATCCTCCTTCCTCTTAGTGACTTTAAAAAACGAAGGTCCTCAAGCTAGGTCCCTCGGCAGAGTAGGGCAGTAAATTTTACCTTAAAATTGTACTTAAGTATCCAAAGTACTTAGTTATTAGTACTATTGTGAGTACTTCCATCCAAATGTATCCAGTACTTTACATTTAAGAGTGCTGTAGCTGAAGAGTGACGAGTACCGACTCGCACATATACAGGGTGTTTCCGGATGGACTTAAAAAGATGAGGAAAAACTTTTTTATTTTCACCATAATTTTGAGCAGATGTTATTCTTCCTAAGTATTTTAAAAATAATAATCCAAATAGAAGTCGAATCTCTTTGCTTGAGTGAAATAATGACAAATATGTTTTTAGTTTTTTTTTTACATTTTTCTCATTATTCCGCTAATGCAAAGTGATATTCAACTTCTGTTTGGATTATTATAAGTTTTGAAATAAGCAAAAACTTTTATGAGGAATAACATGAGAAAATAAAAAAATGTTTCCTGTTTTTTTTCAATCCATGTCCAATCTGTATATACGCGTCTATATACGTTTTAACATATATAACTGTTCTTTTGAATATTCTCTACCTGTACATCTACCTAATTCCTTTATTTTACTTTACTTTAACACTAAAAGGCAAAAGTGATAGAAGATAAGTTATTTATTCTCGTTTTTTGATTGATGCTTACTGACTTACTATTACTAATTACTATAATTGTTTCTAACCATGAGTCACTAACTAGAATTATTTGAAATGTTAATACTCGTTACTCAATCTATTCACGAGTAGGTACTCTCTAAAATTTGCAAATTACTCATTTGCTTTGAGTATTACTCAGATAATTACTCATACTCAGATACGTAAGAGGTACTCATTGTGAGGTACATATAAGTACTTTAATGCAGTACTCTGCTCAGCTCTGACTATCGGTTATTGAATGCTTTGCTAATGTCCAAGAAAAACTAGAGTTTCAGCATTAGTCGCGAACAGGAAACAAATAATATCAAAGTAGCCAGCCGACTGCGTGGGGTATATCTCGCTGTATGATTGTTCACATCAAACAGCGCACACGGCCACCGTAATATTATTCGTTTCCTGCTCCCTCTATTGCTCTCTGTAGCTTTTACTTTGACTTTAACAAAGCCTATTGGAAAGTGTTGAATAGCCGACCCTGTATATAGTAAATAACTTTTTTACCAGCTTCTACAATAACGGACATATCATCCGCTACCACTCTAAAAACTAATTCTGTATAATCAAATAAAAATAACAATAAAAAAATAGAATTTTCTTTATTGGCCTTTAAATTTAATACTAGTGTTCGCCCAGTGATCGAAATTCGAGCATAATTATTATTGAAAATTTGAGGAAAGCATTTGTATATCTGCGACCATAAACTTTTATGTGTACTTACGATACAACATAGTTCATTATAATTATAATTAATTAAAAAATATGAATTCAATAAAATAACAGTAACTAACAATTTAAACCCCCTTATTTATTAATATTAGAGAGTTATTGCAAATTTCTATAACGTCAGCCACTTATTAAATAAATTCCATGCTAAAATAAGACTTATTGCAAACCTTAAATTTTGACATTAGAGTCCTTGTCCTTATACATATTTCTAACATCACTTTAAAAATTTTAAATTACAGTTCATCTTTTTTGTTGTTTATAATAGTATATAATATGGAAGGGGCATTAAAAATTTAGATGACGATGATATTAAATTTTTAATATTAAAAAACTTCGAACTCTAGGCGAGCGCACCCGGAAACTATAAAGTCGCCACTAACTGCTGTCTTTAAGCATCCACAATTAAGGACAGACACAATCTTTATTAAAGTCAGTTCTGGAATATAAGTGTTCTGCGCATGCTCAGATGTCAAAATACGAGCGGAACTAATAGTGACATAGTGACTGACCTTAGTGAACTTGCAATAACTTTCTATTACATGAAACACAATTTTTATTTTGAGGTTACCCTTGAAGCCTTAAAAAAGGAGAGGCTGGGTGGTTGGGTAAGGGTAACCCCCATCACTCTATTATATTCCACCTTAACTTGCACCCTATCAAGAACCATTTCGAAAATAATCAGGGGGTCGGCCTACACTTCGATTTTTTCTGTTTTTAATTATTTATACAACCAATACCTCAGAATACTCGAATTATAAAAAAATGTTTCACCCGCCCCACCTAAAATTATCCCACCTACATTTAGATGAAAGTGAAGTGACTTGTCCTTTGGTGGGGTGAAATTTTTTTCGTCTCCAAGTCCAATTTGTCCTAACCGAAGTTAATTTTCCTAAGTCTAGGGATTCTATATATATCGACCTCTACCTGGGTGAGAAGTGGGGGCGAGGGAAGTTGGGCAGTTTGAAATTGCAATTGTTCTATCTACGGTTTTTATAATCTAAACGGATGATGTAATTACGGTTCCATCAGGGGCGCATATACGAGGGGGGTATAGTGGGTGTAATAACTACCCCCAAGAAATTTTAAACCTAACTTTTTATAGGTACTAAAATGTTTTATTATTAAATATATAAAGTCTTAAATATTACCACTACCCCCCTCCCCAGACTTACACTTTATTACCACTACCCCCCCAGAATTAAACTTTATTGCCACTATTCCTCCAGACCTAAACTTTATTACCACTACCCCCACACTTAAACTCTGGATGCGCCACTGGGTTCCACTGACAATTAAAGTGACTTTTTGAGAGTGCGTTTAGTTCGTTTTGTTTACATAATTTATTAAGTTTTTTAACTTTTATAAATATATTCCTAAAATATCACGCATCATCGTTTAATTTCCAATTAAAATGTGATGTTTATTTATTTTAAAACAACAGTTTATTAATTAATAATTTATTTAAACACTTATTTATTTTACAACACTACT